CCTGGCAGGTTTTGGACTCCAGCTGCCAAAAATTTGTCCTGGGAATGAGAGAAGATACCCAGACAAATTCATAAGCGGATTTTATGCTTGGCTGGGGCAGATCTTTCATGTTTGGAAACCAGCTGGTCCACATGGGTTAACCGCAGTACACAGCTCCTTCCAAATTTGCTCATAAGCTGTGCTTGAAGTTTAATTTCATTCCACCAAAATCTGTACAATTTCAACACTGACTCGATAAGCACTGAATTGCTCAAAAGGAAAAAAAAAAAAAATGCTAAGGTGTGAAATGAATCATTCATTGGCACGTGGTGCAGGGTCTGGTGCTAGTCATCATGGCCAGTCTCCTGGATTGGTGTGGGATTTCTCATTGTGCGTCCCAGCCTGCAGGACACCAGAAGGAAATATCAAAATGAAATTGGAAACAACATTTTTTGAGAAATGAAAAGTTAATTATGGAGTTGTAGTGTTGGGTTTTTTTTTCTTTTCCAGATTATTTATAGCTACCTCAGTGCTTTTATTTTACATGCCGGCTTTTGAATCTGAGCATGATTTAGCTGAATGTTGTCATCTACAGGGGTAGACTTCTTCATCTGACCGCTCTAGGAAGCAATTAACCTTGCTCCAAAATAAACACCCTAAATAGCTATCTGAATATTGCCTAAAAGTTTCCACTTCTCCTCGTTGACTGCAGAGTTCAAGTTGCTCCCTGGACCAGGAAAAAGTGGTGTCTATTGTCCACACCCTGGTGATCCCCATGCTGAGCCCCCTGATCCACAGCCTGAGGAACACGGAGATGAAGGATGCTCTAGGGAGACTCCTAGGAAGAGTTCTTGTTTCCTCCTGGATTCAGGCTGGTGAAAAGATACGATCAACTAAATGCAAGTAACTTGGATGTTCTTGAGACTTCATCTTTGTTCTGCAGCTGTAGTGATGAAAATAATGAGCACAGGGACTTAAAGGTTCATGTAACATGGAAAACCATGGAAAGCTCTGAAAAAATCTCTTTTTGGGGTGCAGGGAGTAACTCGGAGGATTTTGGAGGGATGCACCACTGTGTAGCAAAATTTTGTTCGGTGCAAAGGACATGATGAATAGCTGAACTACACACTTTGGGGACCAGGTCCTTAAGGAAACACAGAACAAAGACCGTGAGTAAGTATTTCTAGGCAAAAGGGGCCAACAAGGGATACGGTGTCACGGGTAGCTAAGAAGATAAATCTTCAAGGGGATTTTTTTTCCCCCTTTCTTTGTCTCTTCATCTCTGCCCATCTCTTGTGTTACCTGGTGAGAAACATTAGAATCAACGTACGAGGCCAGATGAGAAAATCATCAAGCCGACTGCAGGACCTCTGAGAAGCAGCCAGCACCGGGGACACCTGGAGAGGGTCCTCACAAACCCGGCTGGAGCACGGGGGAAGTTGCAAGGAAGCAGCAGGACACAACTCATGTTCTGGTCTCCCTATGGAAGAGTCTATCACTTTCATTAGCTATAAAAGAGCTTAAATAATTAGTTTTTAGGCCGACAATGTCAGGTGAGATGAATTCCAACTTCTGTAGGTGCAAGTGTGCCTGTACTCAGGTGTGCAAACACATGCGCACCCTGCATGACTGCAGCTTTCACAATGTCCCAAAAAATAGAGATCTTTCCAGATACGCACAGTTGTAATTATAACTTTTAGGGCGTACATCCAACCATTCAATATTTGCTCACGCAAAACAGAAAACTTAATGAGGCAGTGCTTTTACTGGTATGGCTCATGAAAATGAATTTAACGAAACTGGTTTGGTTTGTACCAGATGGCAAATCTGCATGTGTTTGTCTTCAACGTGTGTCTCCAGTTCCTCCACATGTACTTCAAATTAAGGAGTGTCCATGTGCGAGTAATTTAATGCAATGCTGAGATTGAGATTTCACATTCACAACAGTCAGAGAATGCACAGTCAGCAAATACCTACAGAGATACATGTATACATACGTACATGTATATACCCAGCCATATTTTCATATCCTGTTTCCTGTATATATTTTATTAAGAATTTAATCCATTATATGCCATATATACTGCTGTGTTCATACCCGCATGCCTAGCACCACGCACAGTGCGTGTATGTACGCATGTCCATGGCAAATGCAGTGTTCTGGTGCAGAGGAATGCCAGCAACATGGAAGCCCTCCTCTTAGCCGGTGTCCCCAGACCCCACACTGCAAATATCAAAGAGCCACCATGATCTGTGTCTCCAACTCAGTCCCATTCCCCTGTCCATGGAGGAGAGGAACCACCAGCTTCATCCTCCTGGGGTTCACCACTGACCCAAAGCTGCAGCTTCTCTTGTCCATGGTGTTCAACTTAGCCTAGGACACCATCCTCGTGGGCAACATCACCCTCATCAGCTCATATCCCAATGTACTTCTTCATGGGGTACTTGTCCTTCCTGGATCTCTGGTATTCCTCCATCTACAACCACAAGGTCCTGCTGAGCTGTGTCTCCGAGGACAAGAGCATCTCCTTCGCTGGGTGTGCTGCTCAGCTCTTCATCTCCAGTGGCTTGTCCTACACTGAGTGCTGCCTGCTGGTGACGATGACCTACAACCGGTACGCAGCCATCTCCAACCCACTACTACACTGCTGCCATGTCCAAGAAGCTGTGCATGGGGCTGGTGGCTGCCTCCTACCTCGGTGGCTTTGCCAATTCCACTCTCATTACCAGCCGCACGTTCACCCTCAGCTTTTGTGATGCCAATGTCATTGATGACTGCTTTTGCAACCTGCCCCTGCTGGTGAAGCTCTCCTGTGATGTGACAGACAGCTACCAGGTGCTCGTGTATTTCATCCTGACCTCCAACATCATCCTTCTCTCCATTCTCATCCTCACATCCTATGCCTCCATCCTGGCTGCCATCCTGAAGAAGTGTTTGGCCAAGGGGCAGCACAAAGCCTTCTCCATCCGTGCCACCCACCTCACCACCATCATCCTCTTCTACGGCTCCATCCTCTTCATTTATGCCCAGCACAGCTCCACATATGTCCTGGGGAGGGACAAGGTGGTCTCTGTGTTTTACACAGTGGTGATCCCCATGCTGAACCCCTTCATCTACAATCTAAGGAACAAGGAGGTGAAGGAGACTGCTGAAGAGACAGACAGCTTCTTAGCAGAAGAAAAGCAGGGATTACGTCCCCAAAGATACATATAGCAAGAAGTGAACCTGTCTTTTCTTGTTTGTGTTTTTATTTGTTGCTTTTCACAATAGGTGCGGGAGGAAGCAACACAGGAGCCTAAGCTCTTCTGATCCTGAAGTGCTTCCTGATGGACAGGAGATGTCACTGTGCAGACAGATCTCCTCTAGTTCCCACCTCTCCCCATATATAATTTAGATCTGTACTATAAGATGGGATCTTAGCAGTGGCTAGCCTGTAGCCTGGTACTACAACATCATGTTCTTCACCTGGTGCTTTATCTGGATTAAATAATCCTTACTTATGCCAAACCTGCAGCTCAGGTGGAGCGCCATGTGTCATGAATGTAACGTGCCTCTGCTCCCGAGCTGTCCCATTATTTCCTCACGATGCTGTATTGCATCGCATAAACATACTTTCCATGGTCCTAGATTATTTTCCCATTGGAAGAGACAATGTTAAGAAGTACAGAGGCATCTGGGATTGAATTCAGTTGTCTGAACGTAGGCTCTAACACCATGGAGATCCCCACAGGTCTTCCTCTGAGCTTTCAGATGCTGCTCCAGAGCGGCCCAACTCTTCTGAAGGTTGCATGGCATACATGCCAAGCGCATGTCAACATCCTTGGCACCTCAGGGAGGAGCAAATGGCACCAGATTTCTACGTAGAGGGCAACAGATCCCAGACCTGGCCTGGGGAATTTCACTGCATCTTGCTCCTTTCCTGCAACTTAAGCAAAAAGTTTCTAGCACCACTTGTAGGAAAACATGCAAAAAGGGTGAAGCGGTTTCTTAGTTATTAAAGTATCTTTTTTTCCTTTATAAAGTTTTAGTCCAACTGAAAGGGAAAAAAAAAAGCTATTATTATTATTATTATTATTAT